GCCCTGGTGTTTCATACAAAAGAAGGAAGAATACCTTCCCCGGATCCACTTCTTGGGAAAGGAGAAAGGAACTCACCTTTCTCTAACCAAAGGTTTGTGGTTTTCATACATTTTCTCCAAAAAAATGTGAAATTGATCTAAATGTTTTTGCCACCCTGCTCATAGTCTATACCAGTGTTCATTCTTGCTCCCACTTCCAAGTCAGTGAAGTAAATGTCTTGAGGACAGAGGCCATATTTCATTCATCTCTGCAGACCCAGCATTTAGCGTAGTGCCTGACACATGGTAGGTGCACAATCCATGTTTATTGAATGAATGAATGAGCAAATGTATAAATGGAGAAATTGGGATATGGGCATGAATTTTAAAATTCTGATTACAAATTTTTTGATCACTCAAAAGTGATTTTGTGATAATATAGCAGGGGCTTTCAAAGTTAATGATTTTCTTTGTCACCAATACTTAGAATGTAAATTCTTTTGAGAAATACAAAATATAGTTACAAATAATGTGTGCAAAAGTAGCATTAATGACAATAATATATGTTCTATTTGGAACTAAGTCCATTAAATAGAAAGATGACTATAATGGTCATATTTTAAGGTAATCACAAGGATGAGTATTGAAACAGCCATTTGCTCTATAAATATGATTCAAAATTCTATGCCAATTCTAAAAGGCAAATATACATGCTAATGAAAATAATGAAGAACTTTATTAACTTGGTATAAGTGGACTTTGTTATGGAAAAATGCAAGTCCATCCAAATGTTAACAGAGAATTGACTGTGATAAATGGACTTACATCCCTGCCAAAGGAACTTTATAAATATATAGGTTCCAACAATTGAGAGAAATCAATGATACAATAATTAGGTAAAAGGTCAAGTTGATAATCAATTATGTGCTGAGTAAAAGTTCTCAGAGCAAGCAAAACATTAAAGTGTTCCATGAATTTTCACTTTCAATTATAAGATTTATTTAAAGATCACAGTTTTCGGGTCCAGAGAGTCAACTTTGCATGACATGTATGATATATATGGTGCAAAGATGCCTTATAAAGATAGGAGCATTTAACCAAGCAGTGCAAATTATAAACAGATTTCAAAACTAAGGAAACTCTTTTTCATCAACAAATCACAGCATATAATAAAGGTCAGTAAGAGCAGCTATAATTAAATTGTACCTTAATTTGAGGAAACAGAATTAAACTTGATGGAAAGTTTACAAAAAATCTCCGACGCCGAGTGAGAGAGAGAAACTAAAGCACTTCGTGGGTACTGCTGATTTCAGCTTTGCCAAGATTGTCCTGATGGAACATCTGGTTTATGCTAAAGCCAGGTGTGGTCTGCCGAGACAGAAAGGGTGTATCTTGTTCCTTAGGGTGGCACAACTATCTGAACTGTGCAATGAAAGAAAACAATTGACCAAGGCTTTCAAAGCCATCAGAATGCACTCATGTGGAGAAGCTATCTTATTAAAGAACAAACATTGACTGGCAAAACACAAAACTCACCATCTCGGCTGCTATGTGCTATTTAATTAATGGATTAATTAATTAATTAACTAACTAAATTGAGGTCGTATTGGTTTATATGTGTTATTTTATAAGCTTTAATCATGTTAAAGTCATACACAGGTAAATTAACTTTTAACTAGCTTCATGATTACAATAATGCAACATTAAAATAGTTAATAGTATTAACTGGAAAATAGTGTTAACTGGGAAATAGTATTGGCAATGAATCATTTTTCTCAGCAACATACAGAACACTGTTTGCTCTTTATGGTTTATCGACATCACATGGACCTTTGGCATCTGGACAGATAGGGAGGAAGGGAGAAATGACACCTGTTTACCACCTGCTAGGTAACTGTCAGAAGATTCGGGATTGTGTGAGCTCCGTGATGTCAGAGACTTTGTATGTGTTGGTTACTGGGTATCTCCAGCACTTGGATCCATGCCAGAGACACATAGGTAGCTGGAATTCACCAGCTGATTGAGTAGATGTCTATCTGTTGAGCCTGACACTTTTGTTTGTTGGTTAGGCCCATGCCAATGCAGAGAGCTCCATCCAAAGGGAATCAAATGACAGTTTTATTTTAGCCAGTGTACCATAGTTTCATATAAATTCATTATTGAAGTTTCTAAAATTCATGAAAAATGTTGTTTGTTACATATGACATCATTATAGTTAGTATGGAACCATCTTTTTCTGAAATCCTGGAATGACTCCTGTGCCATATTTCTATCTGAAGATATATATATAGGGCAGTGAAGCGTGTCATTAAATTGTGTCCTCTTTGTTCACACACATGTCATTGTTACTATAGTAAGTCAGATCACACAAATTTCTCATTAAATTATAAAATGAAAAGACCTTTGTCACCACTCTTTCTTTTTTTTTAAATATTGGCCCCTGTGCTAACATCTCTTGCCAATCTTTTTTCTTCTTCTTCTTCTCCCCAAAGCCCCCCAGTACATGGTTGTATATTCTAGTTGTAGGTCCTTCTGGTTGTGCTATGTGGGACGCTGCCTCAGCATGGCTTGATGAGCAGTATGTAGGTCCATTCCCAGGATCTGAAGCCCTGAAACCCCAGGTAGCCAAAGCAGAGCATGAAAACTTAATCACTTGGCCACAGGGCTGGCCCCTTTGTCACCATTCTTATGGAGCTATCTTCTTTCCAATACTTCCTTCTTAAATATTTATTTATATTCCAGCTTTGGGGGTTTCCTTCACCCTGCCCTGGCCCGTGGACGGCCTGGTGTTTCAAAATCTTAAGGTGTTTAGTAAAGATGCTTGTGCACATTGCTTTCTAAGATGTGTGTGTTTTGTTTTTTTTTTGAGGAAGATTAGCCCGGAGCTAACTACTGCCAGTCTTGCTCTTTTTGCTGAGGAAGCCTGGCCCTGAGCTAACATCTATGCCCGTCTTCCTCTACTTTATATGTGGGACGCCCACCACAGCATGGTGTGCCAAACGGTGCCATGTCTGCACCCGGGATCAGAACCAGTGAACCCTGGGCCACTGAGAAGTGGAACCTACAAACTTAACCACTGCACCACTGGGCCAGCCCCTCTAAGATGTGTTTTTAATCATTAAGTAGTTTAGAAAAGAGCAAGTTTCTATTAAAGCGAGGTAGTGAGTCTCTAGATTAATGAATCCTATGAGTACTTAGAAGAATGTCTGTGGATCAAAATTTTGATCAGAAAAAAAATGGGGAAGGAAGCTGGAGAATTTCCCTTTTTATTAAAAAAGGCAGGTTAACACTCAGAAAGTTAACTGCCTGGGAAAACACTCATTAGAAAAATGTGTAATTTTTCTGTCTTCAGAAGTCACAGGATATACCTGCAGAAGCTGCATGATTTCACCCAGTTCTCCACGTCACCTCTGGGAGCTGTTTCCAGATGATTAACACAGCTAATATTTAGTTAAGGGCCTATGCTTGATGAGCAGTTCCTGGCGCTCAGTAAACACCGGTTTCCTCCCTTCCTTCCTGCCCACTTTGAGAATAGGAGAGGAGATGGCAGAAGCTTCACAGACTGGAGTGGTTTTCAAAATACCAAAGAAGTAAGGCCACAATTAGAGCAAAGGGGAAGATGCTTTTAAAGAGAAGAGGGCAAGTTTATGGTGGAAGAAGAGAAGGTATGATCATTCCGGGAGGGTTGCAAGAGCCATTCTGGAAGTACCCACTGCTTCTCACTGGCCTTCTGCCAGCAGCCACTGAGCACTTGAAACCATTTCTGAAGTTTGTTCTCAGCTGATGAGTTCTTCCCATTGGTGGTAAGTCGGACACTGGCCCTAACCTTGGCGGACACTGCCTGACTGACAGTGAGCACCCAGGAAGAAAAGGCCCTCCTCCCTCTCACAGATCAGAGACCTTTCCTCCTTTAGACATTCCTAGGTGTGGGTTCTGGGGGGAGTCTAGCTGGACCCACAGGAAGCCATTCTCAGCTACCTGGGAATAAAGCGGTAGCTGGTAGTTGTTTTTCCCAGCCGTATCAGTCTGCTTGGGCTGCCACAACAAAGTACCACAGGCCGAGTGACTTAAACAACAGAAATTCAATTTCTCATCATTCTGGAGGCTGGAAGTCCAAGATGAAGGTGCTGGCAGGGTTGGTTTCCTCGGAGGCCTCTCTTCTTGACTTGCAGATGGTCGTCCTCTTGCTGCCTCTTTCTATGGTTTTTTCTCTGTGCACACGCATCTCTAGGGTCTATCTCCATATGTCCTAATCTCCTCTTCTGACAAGGACACAAGGGCACCAATCAGATTCGATTAGGGCTGCCCTGATGGCCTCATTTTAACTTAATTACCTCTTTAAAGACCTTATCTCCAAATATAGTCACATTCTGAGATTCTGGGGGTTAGGGCTTCAATATATGAATTTGGGGAAAGGGGCCATAATTCAGACCATACCACCTGCTCAGTCTCTCTTTTTACAGAATTCAATTCACGTGCATCAATATGGTACTGTCAGGAAACAATTCAACAAACAACAGTATCAAACTGTCAGAAGAGCTGGGTTTGAAGGCAGACTTCACCGTTAACCAGCAATCCCCCCAAGAGGAAGTGTGGGGAGACAATTCACCACCTTCAGTATCAGCCTTCACTGACGTGGGGGCAGGTGGCCCAGTGGTTTAGAGAGTGACCGCCTGGTCCAAATTCACTGTCACGAGCCAATTAACCCTGGCTGAGTTTCTTCCTCCCTCTATCCCTTGGTTTTCTTTTCTGAAAAATGGGAATAATGATAGTGCCTCCTTTATAGGCTTGTTGTGCAGACTGAAGGGGTTGGCCCTTGCTATAGCCGTGTCCCAGTGAACAATCAACACATTATCTACTATTAGATTTTGTTTGCATCATGATCCCTTTTCTTATGCTCCCTTCCAGGCCCTCCATCACACAGGCACACATCCAATGATCCATTGATTTTCTCCTGCAGTGGGGTATCTATTCTGGAACGGTTGCCTGTGGACCCTCAGAGGTGAGAGAAGTGGGAAATTCCCCCAGCCCAGTGACCCAGATCTCATGATGAAGCCAAGGTAGCAGTTGCCTTTCCGTGAAAGGAATCTGTCTCACTCAGCCCAAACTCCCCAACATGCCCCTGCAGCTGACCAGGAGGGGCACAGGATGGAGAGGAAGAGTGGGCTACCACAAATTCATGAGCTCCCTGGAGAAACAGCTCAAAGCACATGTCTTGTGTAGCGCCACGAGCACCATGTTTTCACATCGATGTGGAGAAAAACAAAGACCAACCAAAGGAGAAAAGCAAAGGCTATTTATTCAGAGCTCGGGGTCGGCCACCATCAACTGCGTTTTGGCAGAGACTCAAGGCAGACAGAGGAGTGGGAAAGCTTTATGGTGGAAAAAGGGATGGAGCCAGGTGTGACCTGATGGGAGCCTGTGGGGCCTGGGGAAGCTGTTGATGGGCTAACCAGAAGCGGGGCATCCTATGTGACTAGTTAGGGGTGTATATTTGTCTTTCTCTGGTTGGTCCGAAGTTGGAAGAAGGGACGAAAATTAGGGAAGCTGTCAGTTTGGGCCAGTTGTTACGGGAGCTATCATCTGACTTCCTGGGTTGTCAGAGAGACAGCAGGCTGCCTTCCGGGCTCAGTTACTGTAGATAAAGGGTTGGTTTCCTGGGCAGGTTGCTGAAGGTTGTGGGTCAGGGTTCTATTTTTATATACAGTCTGGCCACATCTGTTTGTAGATTCAGTCCCTCACCGAGGGCAGCAGGTTGTCCTCAGGGCTTTGCCCTAAGCAGGGCTTTTAGGACGAGACCCCGGGGCTTCGTTGACCTTGTAAGTAACCAGTCCAGCCCTTCTCACACATCTGCTTCCTACAGGATTTTTGCAGGAGTCGTGGGGGCTGGTTCTGATTTTATCAGGTTGGTTGTGAATATAATGTAATTCTTTGCTGAAATCTCTAAACGCCAGGGTTTTATTTCAAAGCTCAAGCCAAAGTAACATTTTGGGCTAGAAGGAAACAGGTATTTCCATTTCAGAATTTCAGGAGAAGAAAAAGGCTCTAAGAGCTGTTGTTAAGTGGAGGTAATACAGATAGATGGGGGCTAAGTATATGGGTTTGGTTGCCATGAGCTCTTGAAATGCAAATATGCCTCTAAGAAAGAATAAGAATTTGGAGACTGGGAGATTCTTTCTGGCTGCATGATCCCGAATAAATTGCTGATCTTCCCGAGGTCTTTTAATAAATTAAAGGCAGTAAAACTTGCCCTCATTGATTTTGCAGATTTGCAACCCTCCTGGAGATTTCATGTGTACAAAACTTATTCTAAGCCACTCATTACGGTGGTAGTGTCTTTGTTGTGCAAATTTCTCCTCTGCTGGGGTGCCTGCTCAGCAGAGTTCCTACAAAATAGCACTGTGCAAGCAACGCTGGGCATCTCGTGTTGGCTCTTAACCTGTGGCATGTGCTGCTCCTAATTTTAATCATGCAAGCCTCCTTATTGCCTAGAAAATGAGTCTTAACCCTTGGAATGGTATCAAGGCCCTCCAAATCTGGTTCTGGTCTTGGTCTGTCCTTAGTCTTCTAAACAGGCCTTCACTCCACCGAAACTGATCTGCTCATTGTCTCCTGAGTAGCAGGTATGGTCCTCCCTTGGCTCTGTCTATTCTCTGTGGCCTGGAATCTGTACCTCTCCTCTCCCCTCTGCACCTCACCCTTGACCTGCTTAGTTTTCCTCCTTGTAAGGCTGGATTCAAGTCTTGTCTCCTTCAAGGAGCTCTCTCTCACTGCCTCAGTTATCCCTTCTATTTCTAAACAATCCTCCTGTAGCACACCCAGCTTTCTTACTCATTTGGTAAGTGAGAGAAACTAGACGTGATGTTGTTGGTTACTATTACCTAATTACATTGTATTTTGCATCTTCCACTGGACGAGAAGCTTCTGTATGTTAGCACCTGTGTTTTAGCGCCTGGTAACCTCCCTGCTTAGGATTCTGCATTGTATGTTTCAATACTAAGTGAAGACTGGTGGAGTATAATGATGAAAGAACATGCCACGTTGATTAGTGTGTTCAACATATTAGAAAAAGAAACTGGCCCTTGCCTGGTCTCAACAATAAATAGTTCCCTGAAACCATCTCAGATCCGGAAGGAGGCGGGTTGGTGGTTTAGCCTTTATTACAGCTGCAGCTGCAGCAATCAGGAGAGACAAAGAGCAGCTTTTAAAATTTCATTCTAAAGGAAGCACAAGGACAGCCACTCCTGCCATATGTATGATTTCAAGTCTTAGAACAAGGCCAGGCCAAGCCCAGCTCATTGCCGCTGGGGAGGTGCTGTCAAATGAACTAGAGCAGGGGTAGGGGGTGGGGGCCCGGTGCAGGTGCAGGGAATTCCTGCTGAGCAGGAAGGAGGAATCCAGTGGGGGTGCCTCAGACATGACTGGGATTCTGTGCAGAATGAGGGGTGGGGAGCAAGACCGAATAATGGAAAATAGCCCGTATGCTAGGCCAAACCCGGGAACAGGGAGCCCAGGAGAGGGCATTATTGGGAAGCTCAAGCAGACAGGGAGGCCATCACCATGTGGCCTGCCAGCAGCAACCACCCTAAGTCAGGCTCAGAGGCTGGGTTTCAGGTCTTAGGAGGTGGCCTGGCAGGACAAGGCAGGACCTGTCCTGGAGAGCCAGGGGTTCTACTCAAGGCTCAGCCACAGAGAATAAGATGAGGATGTTCTGGATAGTGGGTGGGGGCAATCTTGTTCTCAAAAATAAGATAAAGCTCAGATACTCCAGGCCCAAGTGAAGAGTTGGCCCCTGAGGATGTGAGTGAGGAGGACTCTAGATAGAGAGAGAAAGGGTGGAGCTTGGCCATGCTGCATGGCTGTGATGTAAAGAACCACGGACCAGAGAAGTAAAGTGACTTCAGCACCCAAAGTCACATTCCTTGTTAGCAACAGATCTATGCTTAGAACCCAGGTCATGGGATTCCCCCAATCCAAGGGTGGAGTGTTTGTTCTAACTTACCAGCATTTGCTTTCTTTTCTTGGCCATTTGCATGGAATATCTTTTTCCATCCTTTCACTTTCAGTTTGTGAGTGTCTTTAGGTCTGAAGTGTGTCTCTTGTATGCAACATATACATGAGTCTGTCGGTGTCGCAATCCAATGTACACATCAGGATAGATGCGGAGAGGGCTGATGACCACTCTGAGTTTATTATAACCAGCATTTCAATATATACATAGCTTACATCTGTTAAACATACATAGGTGTTCTGGATGAAGTAATTAGTGAATGCCAAGAATTCTTCATGATTTCTCAAGGAGCCCTCCCTCAGCCTCTGTTTTGATATTATCATGTTATTGCTGTGCTTGTATATTTTTATCTCAGAGCAGGCAAGGCCTCCTAGGCAATGGCCCCTCCTGCTCCCGATATCGATATCGTGTCTCCATCTGTGCCCCCAGGCGACTGTGCCTGTCTTAGGTTGCCCCACCCTGGAGGTCTTACCCATCATTGGCTGACTGGCCTTCTCACCTCTGGGTCACAGTTTGTTGGCCAGCCTTTTCCAGTGATTATTAACCCTTCCTGTGTCAGTGGCAGCTACAGTCTTGTTTTTTTATCCAGTTGGCCACTCTATGGCATTTGATTGGAGCATTTAGCCCATTGACATTTAAAGTAGCTATTGATAAATATGTATTTATTGACATTTTGTTACTTTTTTTCTGGGTGTTTTAGTAGTTCTTTGCTGCTTTCTCCTTCTCTTGCTCTCTTCCCTTGTGGTTTGATGGCTATCTTTAGTAATATGTTTGACTTCTTTTGTCTTACATTTTTACTTATTATAGGTTTCTGATTTGTGATTACCATGAGGATCCTATTTAATATTCTATATACATAACAGTCTATATCGAGTTGATAGTCTTTAGCTTGACCTCTTTCTAAAAGCTCTACTTTTTCACTCCTCTCCTCCCACATTTTATGTTTTTGAAATCATATGTAGTCTCTTCCTTAGTGTGTGTCTATCCATTACCCTCTTATCATTGAAATAGGTGATTTTAGTACATTTGTCTCTTAACCTTCATATTATCTTCACAGGTAGTTGATCTGCTGCCTTTACTATATTTTTACCTTTACAAGTGATTTTATTGCCTGTTCTTTTTTTTGTTTGCTGTTTTTGATAATTTTTTTTAATCTCTATTTGTGGTCATCACTTTCCCACTTAAATAAGTCCATTCAGCATTTCTTGTAGAACTGGTTTCTTGCTGATAAACTCCTTTAATATTTGCTTGTCTGGGATACTCTTTGTCTCTCCTTCCATTCTGAATGACAATCTTGATGTATAGAGTATTCTTGGCTGTAGGTTTTTTCCTTTTAGCACTTTAAATATGTTGTACCATTGGCTTCTTGCCTCTAGGGTCTCAGCTGAGAAGTCTGCTGATAGCCTTATGGGCTTCCCTTTGTATGTCACTTGTGGCCTTTCTCTTGCTGCTTTTAGGATTCTCTCTTTATCTTTAATTTTGGACATTTTAATTATAATATGTCTTGGTGTGGGCCTCTTTGGGCTTATCTTGTTTGGAGCTCTCTGTGCTTCCTGTGCTTGGATGTCTATTTCCTTCCTTAGGTTAGGAAAATTTTCATCTATTATTTCTTTAAATAAATTTCTGCCCCTTTGTCTCTCTCTTCTCCTTCTGAGACACCTATAATCCGAATGTTAGAACACTTGATATTGTCCCAGAGTTCCCTTAGACTGTTCTCATTCTGTCTAATTGTTTTTTTTTTTTTTCCTGTTCAGCTTGGGTGATTTCCTCTAGTCTTTCCTTTAGCTTGCTGATCCGTTCTTCTGTGTCCTTTACTCTGATATTGAGTCCCTCTAATGAGTTTTTCATTTCCAGTATTGTATTCGTCATTTCTGATTGGTTGTTTTTTATATCTTCCAGTTCTTTGCTGATGAGCTCACTGTGTTCCTCCATTCTTCTCCCAATATCTGTGAGCATCCTTATGATATTTTGTTTGAACTCTTTGTTGAGTAGGTCGCTTGTTTCTATTTCATTTAGTCCGTTTTCTAGGGTTTTGCACTGTCCCCTTGCTTGGAAAGTATTCCTTTGCCTCCTCATTATGCCTCTTTCTCTGTGCTTATTTCTATGTATTAGGTGAGTCGGCTATGTCTCCTGATCTTGGAGAAGTGGCCTTATGTATGAGATGCCTTATGAGGCCCAGCAGTGTGCTTTGCTCTCGTCACCAGTCCAAATGATCCAGGAGTGACCCCTTTGTGGGCTACTTATGGCTTTCTGCTGTGGCAGGGTTGCTCTTACTGCAGGTACCCAGGGGGTCTAGTCTTTCCTTCCCTGGCCAGCTGTTTGTAAATCCGGTTTGGGGAGGCTAAGCACCATTGGCTACAAAGTCTATCAGCACACTCCTATTGCAGGTTTCCTCTTAATTGGGTTGGTACCCAGTGTAGCTGGTTGCTAGGCTCAGGGGCTTATAGTTGCAATAGGCCTCAGGCCTACAAGGCTGTTGTCAGTTCTCTTAGGAGTGCACTGAGTGGGGCTGGCCCTAGGCTCAGGAGCACTCAATTGTTTCAAGCTTTGGAAGGTGGGGCTGATCCTTTTTATGGCTGTTTGTGAAGCACAGGTCTTCTGCCACTGATAAGCCTCACCCTCCACAGGAACACACACATCATCAACACAGTCCTGGTCCGTGCACACTTCTCAACTCCCTGGAGTGTACCCTGTCGCCACACTACAGAGGCCCCCACCTCTCCACCAATGCCCCCCACAGATCAACTGGTCCTCACAGAGGCCCTGCCCCACAGAGGCAGACACCCTTACCTGCCTGTGGAGGATCAA